CCGAAATTATTTTGGCAAATAGTTTATAATCATTGTTCAGAAGTGAAATTGGTCTGTAGTTTTTTACGTTTGTTAAATCCTGTGTTTCTTTTGGTATAAGTGAGATTGTAGCCTCTTTCCATGTTTCTGGAACTTTCTTCGTTTCTCTAATATTATTCATCAAAAGTTCAAAAATTGGTATCAGCTCCTCTTTAATTTTCTTATAAAATTTTGCTGTAAAGCCATCCGGTCCTGGAGCTTTCCCCAACTTCGCCTCTTGAATTGCTTTGTCAATTTCTTCTTTCGTAATTGGACTATTTAAAATGTCTTTAAGTTTTCCTGAATTTTTTCCCCAAATTTACTTTATCTAAATATTCTTTTATTTTATTTTTGTCCACTTTCTTTTTTGCAAAAAGATTTGCATAGTATTTAAAGAACGCTCTTTAGATTCCATTCATGTCTACTAATTCCTTTCCACCTTCTATAATCTTAGTTATAATGTTCCTCTCCTTTCTTTTTTTCAATTGCCATGCCAAATATTTCCCTGGCTTGTTTGCCCCTTCAAAGGATTTTTGCTGTAATTTTTTCAAGTTCCAATAAAGTTCTTGGTTTAAAAAGGCATTTAATTGTTCTTGTAAAATTTGTATCTGCCTTATTATTTTCTTTTTTCCTGGTTGCTTCTTTAATTCTGCCTCTTTTGTCCGTAATTGCTCCGCATCTCATGTAACTCTTCTGAAGATACCTCCCTTTTCCAGGGATGTTGGCTAGATGGCCTTGGATCTGTGTCTGTGCTTACCGCCTTAGCTTAGATAATGAATGGGTGATTTACAGGTGGGAGGTTGGAAGCACACTGGTTAAGTGGGAATGAATGGGCAGTATAATTGGAGGAGGCTACATTTGAACCATGTATAATTAGGGGGGTTTGGCACCAGAACCTCAGTTCTGACTCAACAATGTTCTTAGCTTGGAACATGTTTATTAAATAAACAAATCACCTCCAGTGAGTGTTGTTGAGGGTAACTTTGTCCAAGAGTCTGACAGTTAAGGAGAGAGGGTCTATGGGGCAGAAGCCTGAGATTCCCTGGTCTGTTCTTGAATGCTTGTCTGAAATTAAGAGGACAGCCCCATCATAGTTGGTCCTAGGAGAGCCCAGAGTCCTCTTTAATGACAAGACTCAGACTCAGCTTCAGAATATGAAACTGGCAGCGTTAAGTGATTGGAGATATGGGGAAGAATCTGGCAGTGATCCTCTCTCCTAGCCATCTGGGGCCTGGCAGAGCATCAACACTGTACTAACAAGCTGATTATGTATATCTCCAATTGTGGATAGCCCCATCTGCCATATAGTGACACTTCTGCTATTGTTGTTCCCGGGAGTAGCATCAGCGGGCCAATCCAGCAGGCAGAGCGGAGGGAGATCAACAGATCCCCCAAATCAAGCTGGAAACCAAGGGGCACATGCTGCTTTAGCATCTCTCCTTCTTTCCCATATTCTGCATTAACACCCTACCCCAAACCTCAAAGACTCCATCCATGTCAACAAGCATGGACCCTGGCGTGATGTGCTAGGGAACTGCGTATCTCTTGCTCTATTGTTGTTGAACCATGATGAGTCAAAAAGTTCTCTGATGAACCACCAGCTTTAGTAGTCACTCTACGCCTGGGGACACTACCGCCCCTTCTTGTGTGGCAGTGCCAGAATTAGGGTGATGGCTCAGTTAATCCACATCGTCATTATCAAGTGAAGACATTTTTTGTTTTGCCCTCCCTGCCCTCTGATTGAATACCTGGCTCTGTGCTTACGCTGGTTTTATAAGCTGTTTTTATAATGTTCTGTTATTCATTGTTAGCCACCTTGGTGGCCCAAGTTGGGCAGAAAGGCAGGGCATACATTTTAATAGCAATAGTAAATACAACAGTAATAATTCACATGTTTTTCATTTCCATCAAGCTTCACGGGTATTGTCAGTTGAAAATGAGCAATGCAATACAATGTGATTTCATGACTTCAACAGTACAATCCTAAACAGAGTGTATGGTGTATGGTGGCTCAAGTGGTTAAGACGCTGAACTGCAGGCTGTGGAAGGTCAGTAGTTCAGCAGTTCAAGACCCGAGTTGCGGCATGACGGAGTGAGCTCCCGTCTCTAGTTCCAGCTCCTGCCAACCTAGCAGTTTGAAAGCAAGAAATTGCAAGTAGATAAATAGGTACCACTTCGGTGGGAAGGTAACAGCGTTCCATGCGCCTTGGTGTTTAGTCATGCCGGCCACGTGACCACGGAAACGTCTTCGGACAGCGCTGGCTCTTCGGCTTTGAAACGGAGATGAGCACCACAACCCTAGAGTCGGACTCAACTGGCTTTCAAGCAAGGGAACCTTTACCTTTTTATACATGATGATAGTATGAATTACACTTTGTGTTAGTTATGCATATTGCTAACTCCATTCAGTAAAAAATGTTCATTGTTTACTCCATTCAGTATAACTCCATTCAGTAAAAAATGTTCATTGTTTACTCCATTCAGTATGATTTTACAGAAATCTAATATAACTCTAGTGCAATAATTTATTCATAGTCTTCCACATTAACTAGATGCATTAAAAGATTTGTACAACATGTGATACCAGTTGTGGAAATGTGCTGCAATGTTTAGTACTGTCCACATGATGGCACAGTGCTTACACGAGTTTACAAAAAGGTACCAATAGAGAAAATATCTGAAGAAGTGAGCAGTGACTCATGAAATCTCACACCCTACCAAAAAAAGTTGTTAGTCTTTAAAGTGCTATTGGGCTGTCTCTCTTTTCTACTGCTATAGACAGCTACCCATCTTGATCTATCAACAAGGTACCAAGTTTGTAAACTGTGGCACAACTACAGACCACTTTGTTTATCTGAGTGACCATTATGAATAAGAAAAATCACCTGTTTGGACATTTCTCCTTGGCTTCCTCAAGAACCTTTGGACCCAGCAAACCTCTCCATTCTTCTACTGCATTTTCTCTCACCAAACCAAGTGCAAGAGTTGGTCCGCTGTTCAGTGCAAATACAGAAGAATTCTTTTAAAAATCACACCCCCTAAACTGTCTTTGCTCTCTGATAAGACGAACCACTGCAATGCGTTTGGGGGGGGGGAACCTGTTTACACTTGGAGTATTCTAGGCATATTATTATGTAGCTGAAAGGAAGTTTTCAATGAGCGGGAGATGAATAGCAACACGTCCTTAGACTTAAATTGACCGATGAGAATCTTCGGAAGAGTGATTGTTAGTCCACCAAAACACTTTTATGTTCAGAAGTGCTTAATACATTAACAACAGAGTTGGTGGCCAGTATATGTAGGGACAGGTTTGCGGTAGAGTATCTGCTTGGCATGCGGAAGGTCCCAGGCTCAATCCGTGGGATCCCTAGTTAAAACAATAAAGTAGTCACTCTGTTAACAACTACTGGCTATGGCCAGGAACCTCCCACAACCCGGCTCTTCTGTTGCTCTCACCTTTTGCCTGACATTGGCTTGAGGACCTATTCATTGGCTAATGACCTCATCACAAGTTTCTGGGACCTCTTCGGGGATGGGAATAGCTAGACCTCATCCATCATAAGCCATACTCAGAAGAACTCTGAAGAGGTCAGCAGAGGAGAATTGTATGATTCATGGGGACAAACGTTAAGAGAAATTATGAATGGGTGCACAGGTAGGGTGCCTGTCTCCGGATCACAACTGTTATATATGGTATGCTACATGCAGTGGAGGTGGGAAGGTGGCATGGTATAGCTCAAACTCGTCAGATATCAGAAGCTAAGCAGGATTGTCACCTGTATAGGAGACCACAATGGACAACTCTGCAGAGGAAAGCAATTGGCAAACCACCTCTGGATGGGAGACCAGCAGGGGACACTCTGCACAGGAAAGCAATTGGCAAACCACCTTTGCTTCTTGCTTGCTTTGAAAGCCCCTTGCTGGGGTCACCCTAAGTCGGTTGCTTGACAGCACTGACGTACATACATGCAGTACATATGACATTGCTGTATTATCAGTTACATATGGCATTAATATCTGAATTCTGTCCTTATCCTCAGGGGTCATTTCGTAGAAAAAGAGGTGCAGGAGCTCATTAGCATAACTCATTCGCATAACTCATTTGCATATGCCACACACCCTGACATCACCGGAAGTGTGTCAGAAGGCGACACCCACCGATCAGGCTCCACTGGACTGTTTTGGATTGCTAGCTATTGGGGGGGGGGGGGGCTTAGGGGGGATGGGATGCCATACAATCCCCCCAAGAGCTTGTACCTGAGTACAACTTGGTCTTAAAGGTGCCACTGGACTGTTTTGAACTGGGGGGGCGGGGGGGAGCTCTGCAACTTACCTGGCTGCTTCTTGCTCTGACTGAGGGCTGCTGGGAGCAGGGGGTGGGGCTTGTTGCATGTGCCCACTCCCTGGGCTCTTTACTGCCGGAGCTCCGCTCCTGTGCGCTCCTGCAGGAAATGACCCCTGCTTATCCTTATCAAGGAATTATGGCACATTGTTCCAGATAGTGTTGCCATCTCTGGCTTGGCTTGCAGGCCAGTGTCTGGGAAGGGTGGAGTCTGGGGGGGGGGGGGGGTTGGGCGGATGTGATGCCATACAATCCCACCCTATGATGCTGCCCCTTCCTCCAGGGGAACTGAGCTCTGTAGTCCGGAGATCTGTTGTAATTCTGGGGGAACGACAGACCCCGCCTTGAGGCTGGTAGCCCTCGTTTCAGAGTGACTTGTCACTGAACTGTGTAAAATCAACTTGTTTCCTTGCACTGCAGAATGTGTTTCTTTCTAACTAGCGCACCTGGTCATTTCTTTTAGGAGCATTGGGAAAAAATCTTCATTCTCGTGCTCCTTGTAAAACAGGCGCGCTTGCTCTTCCGTCAGAACGATTTCCTTTTGCATCGCTATCGTGAAGCCGTCATCCTCGATCCTCCTGAGAATAGATTCTGCATACGAAAGGTTCCAACAGTTTAACATCTTGCCCTCATTTAACCAAACAGTACTGTACAGATACATCATGATGGGGCAGCTAACGGGCCGCAAAACTGCACAAGCTCCACCCACCCTCGTGACCCATCCCTTCTCTCCTTTAGCCCCGCCCACCTCAAGCCCCTCCTCTCCAGCTCCACCAATGTCCCTCCTTAATTGAATATGCCATCCGAACAACAAATGCTTGTAACAAAAGGGGGAAGATTGTTGTCTTCATGTGGCTTTGGGCGTCTGGGCCAATCTCAGGTTCTTGGGCTGGTTGGAAGCAGTCCCCAAGCCCTGAAACAAACTGGAAGCCAGTGTAAAGGGTATCACACTGACTTACTATGGCAGCTCCATCGGGTTCGTGTAAAGACCCTAACCAAACGACGTTTCTGAGCCATCTTCAAGGGTAGCCCCACATAGAAAGTGCTACAGCAACCAAGCAGGGATGGCTACTAAGTCACGTATAACTGACCCACCAAATGCGATACACATGGTGATCTCTGTTATCTTCTCTGTGTGGCAATTCCCTGCCATGCCTTGTTCCCTGAAGAAGAATCTGACTATGCATTCCACTATCTCAAGTGCAGAAAAGGGCAACTCGAATGATAAAAGGGTTGGAACATTTCCCTATGAGGAAAGGTTAAGGCGCTTAGGGCTCTTTAGCTTGGAGAAACGACGACTGAGGGGTGACATGATTGAAGTTTATAAGATTATGCATGGGAAAGAGCAGGTGGAGAAAGAGGTACTTTTCTCCCTTTCACACAATACAAGAACTCGTGGGCACTCCATGAAATTGTTGAGCGGTCGGGTTAGAACGGATAAAAGGAAGTACTTCTTCACCCAAAGAGTGATTAACACTTGGAATTCACTGCCACAGGAAGTGGTGGCGGCTACAAGCATGGACGGCTTCAAAAGGGAATTAGATAAGCATATGGAGCAGAGGTCCATCAGTGGCTATTAGCCACAAGGTATAGATAGGGGCTCTGGGGCAAGTGATGCTCTGTCATCTTGGTGCTTGGGGGGGGGGTCAACAGTGGGAGGGCTTCTAATGTCCTGGCCCCACTGGTGGACCTCCTGATGGCACTGGTATTTCTGGCCACTGTGGGATACAGAGTGTTGGACTGGATGGGCCTTTGGCCTGATCCAACATTGGCATCTCTTATGTTCTTATGACTATATAAGTTCAGTAGAACTATGTACAGTTAGATTGCATAAGACAAAAAAAAATCTGTTGCATGAAAAGGATGATCATGTACCAGCATGGTAGACGTGATTAATTACCTCTGTCTATCTGATGCTTTCATTGAAGACATCGGTGAGTTGGCTATTTATTTACCCAAAATGTTCAAAATCCTTTCTATACAAGAATACTTTTGGGCAGTTCTCTAAAATATGGGTGGGCGGAGACACTGTCGCCAGCAGCAGCTTGTGGGGCTGGGCACAGGAAACACCTGAAGGGGGGGAGGGCGGAAGCCAGTGACCTCACTAGTGAGTGAAGTTTCCAGGATCATTTCTGCAGCGCTCCAAAGGTATGCAACTACTGAGCAGCTGCTGGGGCCCAGCGCCAGCAAATGACACCATCAACCCACAGCCACGCTCGGCACAGCACTGCAGCAAAGACCACGGCAGCCCCAACACCTGCTGGTCTGAGGGGTGCCAGCTCTCCCCCCTCCCTCAGCAGTGCTCAGTGGTGGAGACCGGGAGATTCCTTCAAGTTCCTGTCAAGTTGTCTGCAGAGATGAGACATAAACATGTGATATCCTGCTGCAGTTTTCTAATGCACGTGGCTTTATATCCTGATTTTTATTTACACTCAAACTACCATAGAAGTAATAAGCGATGTAAATTTGTTGCGGGGAGAGCTTATCTTGTAATTTTAGCTTAATACGCGCTTTAATATCAAATATAAAAATATGGATATTGCCAAAGTTGTGTAGTATTATCCTGCAAATTCATCAGACACACATGCCTTTGGCAGCTAGAAAATATCACAAGCTTCACTCACCTCTTCTTTCTCTTAAGAGCGCGGGTCGAATCAAGGCCAACGTTCTCTCGACCGCAGGGCCAGCGCTTTTCTTCTTTCTCGAAAAATCCGGAAAGAAGAAGGCCAGCTGCCTGCTTGCCTCTTCCAAGCTATCGTTAATATCACATAAATTTAACATATCCTGATTTTCCAAGACATCATGCAAACTAACAAAAGGGAAAAAAGTTAATATTTTACCTCAGTCCTTAGTGCATTCGTGACAGCTGTGAAATGAAAAATATAGCTCCCATACACTGTGAATATTGTTGAAACAGAGACTATATAATACAAAGTATGATTTCTGTGGCCAAAGATTTCTTAGGCAAAAAGCTGTTATACACATAAATGTTAGAAAGAAAGAAATTTTTGACATTTATTAGTAAATCTCAGGGTCAATAGAATGTGTTGAGTGAATGACTAGCAGTGCCATCCCAAGAAGAATTATACCTGTCTAAGTCCATTGAAGGTGCAACTCCATTGAAGGTGTAACAGTGCCAGTCTAAGCTCATTGAAATCAATTAGCTTAAAGTGCAGTAACTGTTTAGGATTGCACTGCAGAGTTCAACCTAATATCAATCATTTCTGGGCAAAGGACTACAGTTACAGCCCCCAGGTCAGCTTTGTGACAGAAACTGACACTGACCAATAAATCTCCTGTCTATGCAAGAACCTTTGGGGAAATGATAACTTCTTATCCTTATTCCCATTGTTATTAGTAATCAACAGTGGGTTGGATCCTATACATTGGCTCCAGGCAGCTTTTCCCTCTGTCTTGCCCAGTTCCCCCTCCAAGCTACAGCTCACGTCCAACAAGGTTTCTGTTCTGTTCCTGCAGGCAACTCCTTCCTGTTCACCTGCAACAATGCAGGTGAGATCCAGCCCTGAAGCTCCATTCCTTTAAGCTGGATTCTCTGACTCCCTTCTCCTAAGTCTCCAGGGAAGAAAGACTTCCTTCAACAGCAAAAGCCTCTCTCTGTCAGAGGAAATTTTTCCAATAATGAATATATTGGTTGGTAGTAGTCTAATAACCTCAGCCTAGGATAGGGTTGCTAAATGCATTTTGGCCGGGAGTGGGGGGCTCCCGGCCGGCGTCTAATTCGTGCGCGCGTGCATCACCCGGAAGTGACGTCGCACGCTGGGGGCGGGGCCATGCCATTTGAGGGGAAAACAAAGAGTTTCCCCCTCAAATAGCGTGGCCCCGCCCCCAGCCTGCGACATCACTTCCGGGTGACGCGCGCGCGGGGGTGGGGTTTCCCCTGGGCCCGATTCCGCGCGGGGCAGAAGTCGGGCCTTGAAAGCGGGGGGAAATCCGCCCCCCGGGGGGATTTGGGAACCCTAGCCTAGGAGCATAAAAGTCAACAACAAGGACATAAACTGCCAAGCACTAAAATGTTATCATTATGTCTGAAAGTTAGCATTTTTTTGATGTTCAACATTATTAGGAATGATTTCACGTGAGGCAAAGAATGTCAAGACTGGGAACCAGATTCCTGAGAGGTATCAGAGATATCTCCCCTTAACGTGTCATGTTTGTGACTTTCTGCTATTTTACCCACTATGAATTGGTCCCATATTTTCTCAAACCATAAAGACATTGATGGAACTTTGTTGGAATGCCACTTTGAGGCTATTACAATTTGCACTGCTGCCAGCAGCAAGCAGACGAGGGACCACTTTATGAGACTACATGTTCGATTTGTCCAGTGCTGCAGTAAAAGGACTTCTGATTCAAAAGGTAAGTCAACTGCAGTTATATTCTTTATATGAAACACGATTTCCCCCCAATATAATTGAACATGCCTACAGGACCACCAACAACAATGAATAAAGGTGCCTTCAAGGCCACATCCTTTCCAGCGTAAACTGCTAATTGATTTATGCATCTGATGTAATTTCTCCAGGGTGTAGTACCAACATGTCATGATCTTCAGAAATTGGGAATGTACATTAAAATTTTTAGAACTGTTGTTAGGAGAGGACCAAATTTCTTTCCATGTCAAATGGTCATCTTGTATATTAGATATTTGTTGCCAGGCTGGCTGATAATGCAGCTTGTTAGAACAGATGGATTGGTTAAGAATTTTGTTATTTACTAAAACATCTGAAGCACGAGTCCTTTCAGTCAATAGTCCTATTTCATTCCCCATTTCCATCATTTGGTTCTTATAGACCTGTGCTGCCCCCAGCCAGCGTTTAACTGTAGTTAAGTAGAACTGCCATATATCTTTAAGAGCAGTTGCCCCTGGGAATTGAAGTCTTTAGTTAGACATCCCAAAGCATCCCTGTGACTGGCTGATTAAACATTCATTTCCTGCACCCAGAGGCGCGAGGATTTGAGTTTACCTCTTTCTTCCTGTTTCTTTGTCTACTCTTTAAACGGCAAGGGAGGTGGGAGAACGCAATCTTTTTCACCATGAGCCAGTGAACTGAATTAGATTACAAAGATGTGAAGTTCACCAGTTATTCAGCCTTGATTGTAAGTAAAGAAATCTTCTGAATGCATGTGGAGGAGCTTAATAAAAATGATTTAATTCTATTCTACTCTGGCCATGCATTAAATCACATTCAGAAGGTGCTGTTGACTCTTGACTTAACGCCAGATGGAACAAGGCCACCTTGACTGTTGAAAGAGGTGGCTTACAAGTATTGTACATAAATTAAAAAATTATTGGAAAATTCCAGCACTTAGTAAAACAGACAGAGGACTGTCCTGAAATCTGTGGAAATAAACTTTTGCTTGCACTAATTAAGATTTTAAACAGTATTAAAATAATTCTCAGTTGTCTTCAAGGACATTGTACTACAAATACATTCCAGTTTGATTAAAAGGTTCCTTCTTATCCTACATTTTATGATTTCTGGTTTTTATTTTATTTTTCTTCTACTGGTTTACACAAGCGCTGGGGGAATAGATGGCTGGACACAGCATGGTAAAGTGAGAACAAACAGCAAGGCTAAGCAGAGATGGAACATATCTTGTATGACTCACCCCTGTGAGTCTGACAGAGAGAGCTGTGTTTCTCAACAGCTTATGCTACAATAAAGTTTGTTAGTCTTAAAGGTGCTACTGGGCTTTTTACTATTTCGCAGCAACAGACTAACACGGCTACACTCCTCTGGATCATCCCTGTGATGTGCCGTTATGTCAAAACTTGAAGGACTGGGCAGCACTTTGCGCTGACCCCGCACATTTCTGTGCATGAAATCCTATCTATGAAGGAAAGATTATCAATGTGCCCAGAATACACACTCTAGGTCAAATCAAACCGGAGCCCACCCTTGAAGCTAAAATGACTCAACTGAGGCTATCGTATTTAGGTCACATGATGAGAAGGTAGGAGACACTGGAAAAGACAATAATGGTAGGAAAAGTTGAGGGAAGCAGGAAAAAAAGGAGGACCCGACATGAGATGGATTGTGCTGGATATTGTAACTCTGCATGCAAGAGGATCTGGGAGGGAAAGGGTTAAGGGAATTCTCTCACTGGGGGACCCTTGGAAGTTGGCCCCACCCTCTCATGGGCTAGATATTGATCCTCATTGGCCGTTGCTTGCCCTCTGTTTCATCTTATACAAGACCTCTCTTCTTCTTATTTATATATTCGACTTCTCTCTCTTACCTGGACTTCGAGCTGTAGCAAGTTAGCCTTTTTGAAGGTAATATGTTCACAATACGTTATGGGTACCTACATGACTATGTCCTATTTTTGTAAGTAAAACTTCTTTCTCTTGTTACCATTGGAGTCAGATCGTCTTTATAATTTGCTTGAACAGCATTTTTCCTTAACCGGGAAATGGGGAGGATCAGGGATACTGCATAAGACTTCTGTGCTTCCAAGGCAAATTATAACTTGTTTTTACACAAAACACAATAGATTGACTCTATAAAAGAAGCCCCGGCCCTCACTTTGCAAGACCTAAGCAAGGCTGATAAGAATAGGATATTTTGGAGGTGGTTGATCCATAAGGCTACCATAGGTCAGAAGCGACTAGAGAGCACTTAACACACACATTATACACACTCAAATGTAGAATTTACCCGCTCGGCTTTCCAGTTCCAGGAACTTGACCCTCTGTTTCAGGAAGGGCTTCTCTTTCCTCCTCCTCCTCCTCCTCTTCCTCCTCCTCTTCCTCCTTCTCGTCCAGTTCTTTCATAAGAGGCATAACCTCAGGTGCTTCTTTACCTTCTGCAACTATCAGGATGTGACTTGGTCCAGACATCATAAACACAACGAAGTCTTCAAATTCAGGCTGCAAGAATGGCATTGGCCATTAGTTACCAAGAACTGGCATCACTGTATAGTCACTTAGCAAGTTCTCTGTTACTGTTGAGATGCAAAGGTGTTTGTCATGCATAGGGTTGCCAGCTTTGGGTTGGGGAATAACTGGAGAATTGGGGGGGGGGGTGGAGCCTGAGGAGGGAGGGGTTTGAGGAAGGGAGGGACCTCAGTGGGGTAGAGTGCCATAGAGTCTACCTTCCAAAGAGGCCATTTTCTCCAGGTGAGCTGATCTCTGTTGCCTAGAGATCAGTTGTAATCATCCTAAGAGATCTCCAGCCTCCAGTGCGTGCAACATTTCATTAAATGTATTAGGTAGTCTCTTGGCAGAATTCAGCCTAACATTAAAACGATTCTCTTGAATTTTCACCATAAAAGGCCAAATTCGCGCAAGCAGCAGCTGGGGGGCGGGGAAGCCACTTCTCTCATAAGTGGGCAGAAACAACGTTGTGGTAGTGCGAAGCTGCTTCCCACACCATTTGGATGGCTCACAGTTCCTTTCCGCATGCGCAGGGAATGCATGTACAGCCTACTTGTACATGAGTGGTCCGTAGGAAAGTGAAACTGGAGGCCAGTACCTGGATAAATGTTGGTTTAAAACCACACATTCAACTGTACATGCATGGAACTCAACATTAGAATGACTCAGTGTATGTATCAAGAAAAATCAAGTGTACATTGTACATGTATTCACTGGGACTTGTGAATGTGGCTAACCGTGCCATCCTAAGCATAGCTGCATCCTTTCAAGTCCATTGAAGTCAACGGGCTTAAAAGGGTACGCTTTGGATTCCACTGCCAAACTCTACCGGCACAACCCCTTTGCTTGCACCACTCAACACGGTTGGCAGTGCCAGGAGGCAGAGGACCACCACTTTAGAGGACTGCTATGTAAACATACAACTTCAGTCATGTGCCTAGTCATTGCAAGAGATAAATGAATGGGCACCACCAATCTGAGAGAAGACCAGGGGTTGGATGCCACAGAAAAAAGGAACCTTCCCATGATGCAAGAGGTTGTTTCATTGATAGCCCATCAGGGGAAGGCAGCTTCCGCCAAAGTACCAGATCTGTGGCATCAAGCCCAGGTGTAGATATGTAAATGCCGTCGAGTCGCAACGAAAATGGTGATCCCAACAAGGGGCTTTCAAGGCAAGTGAGAAGCAGAGTGCTTTCCTCTGCAGAGTCTTCCTGGATGGTCCCCCATCCAAGTACTGACCCTGCTTAGCTTCCAAGATCTGACGAGATTGGGCTATACCATGCCACCTTCCTTCCATAAGCCCAGGTGTACAACATGAGTATTTGCTTGTGCCTTATTCTATATCTGTTGCCTCAGAACCCAAGATGCCTTGGGCTGCCCTTGCCTTTCTAAGACAAATTACCAACTCAGTGGATCACTGTTTGTGTGCCTTAAAGCCAAGGATGGACAACAGGTCTTGCTTTTGCCAAGCAACTAGATACTTTTTTGAGAGTCTAATAGCCAGGATATTTTCTTGCAGGTGGAGTAACAAGCAATACATTAAGACTGCGATCACATGCTCCTTTAGAGCTTACATAGGCGCGAATACTGGACAGATCTAAAGGGAGCGATCAGACAGCAACAGCTGGGAAGCATCCCACAGCCATCAGCAACCCATGCTGCTCCACTACTGAAGCAGAGTTAGAAGAAGAAGAAGAAGAAGAAGAAGAAGAAGAAGAAGAAGAAGAAGAAGAAGAAGAAGAAGAAGAAGAAGAAGAAGAGATTGGATTTATACCCCGCCCTTCACTTGGAGTCTCAGAGCGCTTCCAAACTCCTTTCCCTTCCCCTCCCCACAACAGACACCCTGTGAGGTGGGTGGGGCTGAGAGAACTCTGACACAAACTGCTCTTTTTCAAGGACAGCTGTGCCAGAGCTTGCGACTGACCCAAGGTCACATCAGCAGGTGCAAGTGGAGGAGTGGGGGATCAAACCCGGTTCTCCCTGATTAGAGTCCGCACACTTAACCACTACACCAAACTGAAACCGGGAAAAGTCCACAGGCAGACTTTCCCGTGCCTGATTGCTCCAGCGCACTCCCATGCTGTTGGGATGGTCTGATCAGGGCAACCCGACTCTGTGCCGTTGTCTCCCCCCCCCCTTTGCAGTATGCGCATCATCGCATACTCCATAGGGGGCCCTCAGCGCGGAGGTGCAATTCCTCGATTGCTCGTTTATGCACAAGGGAAACAAACAGCAAAAAAAAAACCCCGTGACTCACCCAGTTGTGTCTGATCACACAGTGACGGGCTGCACCCCACAGCTTCAAAGGGTTGTGTGATCTCACAACTGTGTGTCAAATTCCTCCAGAGGAAATAGCCTCGCTTCCCCTGCGCTTCAACTGGTGCATGTGGCTGCAGCCTAAAATCTCCGGTTCTGATTACTCAGCAGTATTCTGTGTTAAAAGACTTTTTGCTATGGTCCCCCCTCCGCCACATCTCTCTTTTTACCTCCTCCGATTTGTTTCTGTAAAAATCCCTCACTTGCTCTTCGTCTAAAAGCCTCTCATCATGGGCGACAACGATAAAGCCTGCTTGTATAATCTTCAGTTGGAGAGCAACCATCAGGTTCGATAACATGTTAGAGGAAAAATTAGGACTATTAGTGGTTTTTTACATTGCAAGCCAATACAATAGCCTTAATTGCGTATTATTTTGCAGAATCCATTGCCTAATCAATTCATCTTAAATAAATTCACATAGTACCAAAGCCTTAAGCCTTTTAACGTTTATGCTCTGCTTCAGTTCTGTTTTTAGATTTCTGGTTGCTTCCAGATCTCCGCAATCCAAATCCTATTGCATTTTTAATTGGACATCTTTTTGTAGCAGGAACTCCTTTGCATATTAGACGACACACCCCTGATGTAGCCAGTCCTCCAAGAGCTTACAGAGCTCTTCTTACAGGGGCTACTGTAAGCTCTTGTAGGATTGGCTACATCAGGGGTGTGTGGCCTAATATGCAAAGGAGTACCTGCTACAAAAAGAGCCCTGGTCCCATCCTGTCGATTGCATTGCCTCACTCTGCATAATCCGCCTTGCGTCTCAGTGGAAAAGGCAGGCTATAAATAACGTTACAAATAAATAAATTTAAAAGAAACATTCGGCCGAGTGAGTTTGACTCCTCACACGGGAAGAGAGCCACCGGATCTATGAACTGTGCAGTTAACTTTTCAATAAATCAAGACTAGCAGTCTTGCTTAGAAGAAGAAGAAGTCCTCTTGGAAATTTCCTTCCTTGATGCAATGGACAAGTGCATTTTCTAATCATGATGAGCTATCTGTCTGCTGCATTTCTACCCCACCCCCACTCTAGAGAGCACACAGAATGATGCCGAAGACCGTCCACTTCTCCACCTCACCCTCTGCGATAGGTTGTCCTGAGAGAGCGTGACTGGCCCATGGTAACCCCCTGGCCTTTGTGACTGAGTGTGTGTGTGGGGGTTAGAATCCAGGACTCCCCAGTCCCCCTTTGACACTTTTAACATCTCTGCCACTGTGGCTTTTTGTAAAAAGCAGCTTATTTACCGTCTGTATGATTTCTTCAACTTTTCCTTCAGCGACGGCGTCAGGTTTTATAATGACAACGTTGTATTTTTCTTCCTCTGAAAGGCAAGCAGCAATGTTTCTCACGGACCCGTTTTAAGGATAGAGTCTTATCGATTTTATATCTTTGGCACCCTGCCTTCACTCTAAAGAGCTCAGAGCCCTGCACCAAACATGGGCTGCAAACAATTTGCGCAGGGCGTCCGGCTCATGACCTGCCGGGGTGATCAGAGTCTCTGGAATCTTGTCACCCCCTTGGTTCCCTCTCTCGAGGTCCTGGATCCAGGTGTGATCCAGAGTGTACCCAGAATAGCTGTGGCTGTGCACAGAGAAGGCTGAGTGTTGTGTCCGCGGACGGCCACTGGGCGCCCGCGATACAGCGGAGCTCGAGTCCGGAGAACAATGGGGACCAGGCTCCTGCAGCCTGCCTCTAGGGGAACCAATGGGACATTGGTGGGAGGTTTGAATGGGCCAATGGGAGGTTCCCCAGACTGTATATAAGCGGCCGGTCGGCCGTTGGTGGGTGTGCGTGTTGTGTACTAGTAAAGTGTGCAGTGTATCATGCGTGCCTTAGCAATTCTTCCACGCGGCTAACCCACCACACAACACTGAGTGGAGGAATAGATTGCCTTTCAATAGAGCCTCTATTTATGTATTTATTCTCTTAGACTTCTATCCCGCCCTCCCCACATTGTCGGCTCAGGATGGGTACCCACACATAGGTCTACAATTATGCAGGTTTGCCATTAAAACAATCCATAAGTTAAAGCTGAGATCTGCAATTAATGTCGGTTCACAAATAAAACGCATTACAACAAACCATTTAACATCAATGAAATCACCACAGACTAAAACAACGGCGTGCCTCAACGGATAATATTGTGGTCCCGTCCGGCTTCTGGGAACTGCGGTCACTGGAGGGGAGGCCGGATCCAATGGATGCCTGCTGCCTCAGCTGAAACCCTGGTGGAAGAGCTCCATCTTGCAGGCCCTGAGGGACTGTAACAGGTCTCGTAGGGCCCTGGTCTCATAAGGTAGCTCATTTCACCAGGCAGGGCCCTAGCCCTAGTCGAGGTAAGTTGAACATCCCGAGGGCCAGGGACGACCAGGAGCAATGTTCCCTCTAAGCTGTGAGGTTTTGTGAGCAAAAATTCTACTTTGTGAGCTACTGGCATTAAAGTTGTGAGCGAGTCATTTGGCTGCAGCATAGATTAGTTTGCTCTGGGGCCATCTTTCTTGAGCTAAGACAAAAATGTGTGAGCTGGAAGCTAAAAAACTGTGAGCTAGCTCACACTAACTCAGCTTAGAGGGAACTCTGACCAGGAGGTGTTGGTTTGTAGTCTGCGTGTTGCAGCGAGTAGTTTTGGTAGTTGGTTCGTAGTCCACATGTTGCAGCGAGTCGTTTTGCTCCCCAAACTCTTAGGACCTTCCCCCCCGCCCGTCGGCCAGGGATGACCTGGCAACCCCATGACCAATGCTCCCTCTAAACTGTGGAGTCTCGTGAGCAAAAAATCTACCTTGTGAGCTACTGGCATGAAAGTTGTGAGCGAGCCATTTGGCTGCTGCCTAAATTAGTTTGCTCCGGAGCCCTCCTTCCTGAGCAAGGACAAGAATATGTGAGCTGGAGGCTAAAAAATGATGAGCTAGCTCACACTAACTCAGCTTAGAGGGAACACTGCCCATGACCAATGCTCCCTCTAAGCTGTGGAGTCTTGTGAGCAAAAATTCTACTTTGTGAGCTATTGCCATTAAAGCTGTGACTGAGCGATTTGGCTACTGCCTAAATTTGTTTGCTCTGGTGCCATCCTTCCTGAGCTGAGACAAAAATGTGTGAGCCGGAGGCTCAAAAACTGTAAGCTAGCTCACACTAACTCAGCTTAGAGGGAACGCTGCCCATGACCCATATGTAACTGGCTGTATAATGTTGTAGAATAAGAGGCTGGCAGTGCCACTTGCCTGCAGCGCCTTCTTCCTCTGCTTCTTCCTCTGATTCTTTCTCTTCCAAAAATATAAGCTCTTGCACCTGAAAAATGCGTTTGTTTGTTTGCTTTAATTTCCAAGCTACAGTTATGTTCTCTCCGATAAAGAACGGTGCTCTCTGCGACGCAGTAACCATTACTTCTGTCTTTCAATTTGATGCAAAGATGTTTGAATTAAAGAATGTTTTAATAAGAGTTCTAACGGCACAACGATTTCCCAACTTGGAGCAACATGGAAGTTAATGTAGCCGCACACATCTCACACACACTTTAATATAGCCCTCATGTAAAATATAAGAGGGTTGGGGAATAATAGCTACCCGCCATCAGCTGTTAATATTTACACCCTGCTGATCTGCAACAGACACCAATTTCCATTTTGCTATGGAATAGATATTTTGGGTGTTTATCTGTGCATTTGAGCCCCATTGAGTTCAATGGGTCTTGAGGGTACTTAGCTAATGTTGTGAATCAATTGTAAGATCAACATGCCACTGTTATGTCAGATCAGTACATAAGTAAGTACAGGCCCCTCTCATACTATTCGGCCTACCAGATAAGATCTCCTTCCCAAGCCCTGGTCTGTATGCCCCCCCCCCCGAGGTGAGGTGGGTAGCAAACAGGGCTTTTTCTGTGGTGGCACCGCTCTGAGGCACACCCCTAATGTAGCCAATCCTCCAGGAACTTACAGTAGCTCCTGTAAGAAGAGCTCTGTAAGCTCTTGGAGGATTGGCTACATTAGGGGTGTGTGGCCTAATATGCAAAGGAGTTCCTGCTACAAAAAGAGCCCCATGCCCTTCCCCTTGAGTCTCTTCTGGTGCTTACTTTTCCTTCTTTTAGGTGCTGGGGCAAGAGAGGGGGAGGGGAGAGGCTCAGAGGAAGAATCTCTGCTTTACACGCAGAAGGTCCCATGTTCAATCCCCGGCATCTCCTGTTAAAAGAACTAGGTAGCAGGAGATGTGAAAGATCCCCACCTGAGCCCCTGGAGAGCTGTTTCCAGTCTGAGTGGACCATACTGACTCTGATGGATAAAGGGTTTGATTCAGTATAGGGACCACGTGTGAGCAGACAAGCCGCAGAAAAGACTTCCAAAACTTTCTAGCAGATTAGAAGCGCCCCCCCCTCACTCTGGCCAACACCAAGGATCTCAGGCAGGGGTCTTTCACATCACCTTCAACTTGATGGTTTTAACTGGAGATGCCAGGGATTGAACCAGGGGCCTTCTACATGCAAAGCAGATGCTCTGCCACTGAGCCATGGCCCCTCCCTGTCTGGGGGTGTGTGTGGATAAAATCAACATGCGTGTTGGATAATAATAATTTAAAAATAAACATGGCAGCCATTTCACTCGCATAAAACTAGGAATACGTGCAAAACAGGAAAGAAATGCAGTCAGCGACTGAGCAAAAGATAGGGCATATGAGGGGGAAAGCAACTATGTCGTTTAATAAATTTGCTGGCGGTAAGAGACAGCAACATTACCTCCGGCCGTGTCATTTCTCCTGCTACAATTTTCCTCTCTTGTTCTATTAGTGCCACTACTTTTTTATTCAAGAGAGGTCCGTTGGCACCTCTGACTATATCTATGATTTTGCCATCCTGTAAACAAACATGATCATCATTTAGAAAAAAAGGCAGGAATAGATGACAGTTTTGTTTTATGTGGGTTTTTTTTTACTGGGTTCTAGCAATGTGTTATTTTTCAGGCTCGAATGTCTCATCTTAGATAGCTCTGCTTGCTTCTAACAAAAAGTATTTTGCATTCACAAGCGAAACAGTTTGGCACAGGTCGCAAATAAATGAGTAAGTTTGTCACGTGAGTAACGGTATCATAGGCCTGATGTAGATGCCACACGGCTGGGCCAAAGGCGCTTTTCTCTGGGATTTTGCACTCACGTGAGCCCCTTTCTGTCATCCTGTTTGGTGGCATCCAACCATGCATACCTGGAGTTTGTGGTATTCGCGATCCTCACGATAGTAGATATGCACAGGCGCCATGTGCCTCGAGTGGGCAAGAGACCAGTTTCTACAAGATGCAGGGCCAGCTCACTCTGGTGAATCCTTTCGCCCTGGCGGGATTGCACTGAGAGGCAGTGTGGTAGAATGGTTAGAATCTGGTACCGGGAACTGGGAGACCCAGGCTGGAACCCCCACTCTGCCATGGACACTTGCGGGACTGACCTTGGGCCTGTCACACACACACTCAGTGTAATTTACCTCACACGGTTGTTGTGAGGATACGGTGTGGGGGAGGATAATAATATAAGCCGGTTTGGGTCCCCATTGGGGGCATAGGCAGGGTATAAACAAGACAGATAAAATAAACTTCAGCTGGGCCTGAGGATGGCTAGTTCTACGAGCTCAAGGTGGGGGAACTCCGTGGATCTCGGCTAAAGGGAGTGGTGGAGAATGAGGGAGCCTCCTCAGGCACATGGAGGCTGGAAGAGCCATGAGCTCGTCCTTGTGATGATGACACGGATGCTATTTCACACACACAGAGCTGGCCCAAGGGATTTTGGTGCCTTATGCAAATGACTTTGCCGCGTCACCTGCGTGAGGGTTGCCAACCTCCAGGTGGGGACTGAAGAGCTCCCAGAATTACAGCTGATCTCCACTGGAGAAAATGGCTGCTCTGGAGGGTACACTTTATGGTATTATGCCCCACTGAGGGTCCCTCTCCTCCCCAAACCCTGCTCTCCCTTGGGTCCGACCCTAAATCTCTAGGGATTTCCAAACCTAGAGATGACAACCCAATCTGGCAAAACAACAACAACACACCCCACTGTGGGGAATCATCCATCTCTTCCTTTTTTGCCCCTCACCCTGCGTCATGCGGAAGCCAACCCCCTCCCACTGTTCTCGCCGAAGCTTTCTTTGTGTTTGGCGGAGGGAGTTTTGACTCTTGAAAGCTTCTGCCCTGGAAATCTTGTTGGTCTCTCAGGAGCTGCTGGACTCACGGCTAGGGCGCTTTTTGTAGCAGGTACTCTTTTGCATATTAAGCGACACACCCCTAATGTAGCCAATCCTCCAAGAGCTTACAGTAGCTCCTGTAAGAAGAGCTCTGTAAGCTCTTGGAGGATTGGCTACATTAGGGGTGTGTGGCCTAATATGCAAAGGAGTTCCTGCTACAAAAAGAGCCCGACGGCTACCTTTTGAAACTCACTGGGGCTGGGGCTTGCTGCAATGCCAGGACAGCAGGAGGAGGAGGAGGAGGAGGAGGAGGAGAGTTGGTTTTTATACCCCGCTTTTCACTACCTGAAGGCGTCTCAGAATGGTTTAAGATCTCCTTCCCTTCCTCTCCCCACTACAAACACCCTGTGGCTGCGATCATATGCACAATTAGACCCAACCTAGGGGCGAATGCCAGGTGGATTTAAAAGGCGCAATCAGACAACACCTGGGAAGCGCCCCACAGGTGTTGGCAACCCGTTCTGCTCTGCTGCAGAAGCGGAGTTAAAAGACACCGGGGGAAATCTGGTAGTTAACAGGTTACAACGGGCCACGGATGGACTTTCCCGTGCCTGATTGCTCCAGCGCACTCCCTGTCAATATTGTAAGCTTCAGATGTTAGATGTCTCTGATCTAACTGACAAGTTGTCATGTGATAATCATGAGGTGCAGTACCAGACTCATCCAGTTTGAACATGTCTGGGCAAAGTCTAAGTCACCATGACTGAGCACAGTGCTGATTGGCTGTGCTACCCTGTTTCCCCGAAAATAAGACCTACCCCAAAAATAAGCCCTAGCAGGATTTCTATGCATTTGTGGTATAAGCCCTAGTGTGTCTTCTTGAGAAAAAATAAATATAAGACAGTGTCTTATTTTCGGGGAAACACGGTAGGTATAAATGTACAGAGTGCTTATGCTCAGTGTTCTCCCCTGTATTTATGAATGCTGGCGAAGCATGCTGCTCGAGAGCTGTATATACCTGTAAATAAATATCCTGTAAATAGTTACCACTGGACTGTGTTATGTGGTGTGCTATTGGGAGTGGCTGGGGAGTGGAACTCTGCTAGAGTGTGCTGCAGTTTCTTAAGTGTCTGGTTCAACTGGGAACGCGCTGCGCGACACTCCCATGCCATTGGGATGGTCTGATCAGGGCAACCCGACTCTGTGCCGTTGCCTCCCTCCCCTTCGCAGTATGCACATCATCACAAACTCCATAGGGAGTCCCCAGTGTGGAGGTGCGATTCATCGATTCCTCGTTTAAGTGCACGGGAAACAAACGGTACCAAAAAAAAGACTCACCCGTAGTTGCGTCTGATCACACACTGACGGACTGCCCCCGCAGCTTCAAAGGGAGGTGTGATTGTGGGACTGCGGGTCAAATCCCACCGGAGGAAATAGCCTCGCTTCCCGTCCCTCCCCATTTTATCTGGCACCTGTGACAGCACCCTGTGAGGTGGGTAGGGCTGAGAGAGTCTTGAGAGAGGCGTGACTGACCCAAGGTCACCCAGCTGGCTTCATGTAGAGGAGGAGTGGGGGAATCCAACCCACTCCTCCAGATTAGAGTCTGCCACTCTTAACCACTACTCCAAATCCGGAAGAAAGTAGCTGAAAACAGTACAATAGTTGCATGCTTACCACACAGAAGAGAAAAGCTGGTTCACATTTGTCTCTAAATGCAGCTAGAGTCAAAATGCTGTCAGCCTCCGCCTAAAAAAAAACAAATTCAGCATCAAAGACTTCTCCTTATTTTCTGCTCCTGATTCAACGAGGCATTCTGATGCTCAGCGCAGGGATTTCTTCCCTCCTTTCCATCTTCAGTGTTCTTACCAGGGCTCTTTTTGTAGAAAAAGCCCAGCAGGAACTCATTAGCATAATAGGCCACACCCAACAGCAGGAACTCATTAGCATATTGGGCCACACCCCTGACAGCACAGCTCATTAGCACGTTAGGCCGCACCCCCATGTTACCAGAAGTGTGGTCATCCAGCCACACCCACCTTCTTATTCTGTTTACCTTGTTTGTTGTCAAAACCCAGGGCCTTTTTTGGTAACAGGAACTCCTTTGCATGTTAGGCCACACACCCCTAATGTAGCCAATCCTAATGAGTTTCTGCTTCTGGGTGTGGCCTGTTATGCTAATGAGCTACTGCTGGGCGTGGCCAACTCAGGAGCCAGCCGGAACTCCGTTCCTGTGCGTTCCTGCCCAAAAATAGCCCTGGTTCTTACTATCCCCTCACTGTCAATGAAACCATGAAGCGACTACTGAAAACGTGAGTAATTAATTCTGCCTGGGGTTCATGAAGCAATTTAGGCAGAATCTATCCAAAGTTGGGCCCTCTTAAGTCTCATTAATTTCAATGGGGGGGGGAGATTAAGCACTTCCCCACAAAAATCACACTACTTTGGAGTGCTTGATTTTTTAGGGCTGCCAGCTCCAGGTTGGGAAATACCTGGAGATTTTGGGGGTGGAGCCTGAGGAGGGTGCGGTTTTGGGGAGGGGAGGGGCTTCAATTGGATAGGATGCCATAGCGTCCACCTTCCAAAGCATTCATTTCCTCCAAGGGAACTGATGTCTGTCGCCTGGAGATCAGGTGTTAATCCCATGAGCACTCCAGCCACCACCTGGAAGATGGCAACCCTATTAACATTTGAACATATTCTCATTGAACATCTTGAACATATTCCCCCCTCTTTTTTGAAAATCCAAAGCCTTCTATCATATATATTTTACAGAAATAGTAAACTCTGTGATTTGAAATTTACAGAACACAACAATGTTCTAAAATATAAAGGCGCAACACACACACCCCTGTCTGAAAGTTACAGCTTTGGGGACTGGGATTTTTTATTTATTTTTTTGTATTCCTGTGATGCATGAACGGTGCTGGTCTTCTTAGCCTGAGAACAGTCACAGTTGAGGCACCCCCATTTCCGTACGTTTCAACTTGCTGCTTCCAGCCTGTTATCGAATTTCCGACTGCTGAGTTCAGTATCAGTTAAGATGCGCCACTGAAATGTAAGTGTCCGTGTTTTCCGGAAGTCTCAGTAAAAAGCAGCAACAGGCAGCTCTTCATAGAACTGCCACTCGATTCAGAACTGGACTCGGCAAACTAAGATACGTTCCAAGCTCAGTTTTGGCTTTGGGGGAACCGCCGCACTCCTGACGACATCATCACAAGAGAACTGGGGTTTTCAGATCCCTGATTTACCTGGCTGCTGTGCCTGGACTGACTGGAGGACTGCCAACTCCAGCTTGGGAAATTCCTGGATATTTGGGGTCGGTGCCTAGGGAGGAAATGATGCCTTGGAGTCCATCCCTCGGAGCTGTCATTTCCTCCCCGGGAACTGATCTCTGAAGACTGGAGATCAATTTTAATTCCAGGAGGTCTCCAGGTGCCACTTTGAAGCGGGTAATCCTAAGAGATAGTAGGAGATTCACCTCCCTCCTGAGGGGCCAAAGGGACAACAACAGCACCCAGGCCAGTGGGCGTCGGGGGGGTGGGGGTGGAAGCCAGTCTTCTGCGTGGAAGGAAACTGAGCTGAAGGAAACTTCTGGGCCATAATGCTTGTCTTGCCCAGGGCTTTTTTTGTAGAAAAAGTCCAGGAGGAACTCATTAGCATAATAGGCCACACCCAACAGCAGACACTCATTAGCATATTAGGCCACACCCTTGACAGCACAGCCCATTAGCATATTAGGCCACACCCCCATGTTACCAGAAGTGTTGTCGTCCAGCCACACCCACCTTTTGCTTCTTATTCTGTTTACCTTGTTTGTTGTCAAAACCCAGAGCTTTTTTTGTAGCAGGAACTCCTTCGCATGTTAGGCCACACACCCCTAATGTAGCCAATCCTAATGAGTTTCTGCTGTTGGGTGTGGCCTATTATGCTAATGAGTTCCTGCTGGGCGTGGCCAACTCGGGAGCCAGCCGGAACTCCGTTCCTGTGCGTCCCTGCCCAAAAATAGCCCTGGTCTTGCCTATGTTTGAACATAGTGTAAACCTGCACTTTGATGCATTGTTTTGGTGAAAACTAAGTTTGGTAATTGTTGTTGTTGTTCAGTCGCACAGTCGAGTTCGACTCTTCGCGACCCCATGGACCAGCTCCCGTCAGGCCCTCCTGTCTTCCGCCGTCCTTTGAAGTTGGCTCAATTTCATGTTCGTTGCATTGATGACACTGTCTAAGCATCTCATCCTTTGCCGTCCCGGTCTTCTTTGACCTTCAATCTTTCCCAGCATCAGGGTCTTCTCCAGTGAGTGCTCCCTTCTCACTTGGTGGCCGAAGTATTTGAGCTTCAGTTTCATTATCTGGCCTTCCGGGGAACAGTCAGGGTTGATTTCTTTTAGGATTGACTGATTTGATCTTCTTGCAGTCCAAGGGACTCTCAAGAGTCTTCTCCAGCACCATAATTCAAAATAATCTATTCTTCGGCGCTCGGCCTTCCTTATAGTCCAACTCTCGCAGCCATACCTGACTACTGGGAATACCATTGCTTTGACCATGCGGACTTTTGTTGGCAGGGTGATGTCTCTACTTTTTATCATGCTGTTTAGGTTCGCCATCGCTTTCCTCCCAAGGAGCAGGCATCTTTTAATTTCATGGCTGCTGTCACAGTCTGCGGTGATCTGGGATCCCAGGAACGTGAAGTCTGTTACTACTTCGACGACTTCCCCTTCTATTTGCCAAGGAGTGATGGGGCCGGATGCCATGATCTTAGTTTTTTTGATGTTGAGCTTCAAGCCCACTTTTGCACTTTTGCGCAAGTTTGGTAATACTTGACACCAATATTTATATAACAGCATAGAAAAATTTTAAAAAGAAAAAACACAAAACAGATCTACCTTAAGCATACATCTATTATGCACAGTGTCATATACTTTTCCATGGTGGGGCCTGGGGTTCTCCCAGAGGTGCAATTGTTCTCCAGATTACGGAGTTCTGTTCCTTGGAGAAAATGGCTGCTTTGGAGGTCCCTTCCCAAAACTCGCTCAACCCAGGCTCCATCCCCAAACCTCCCGGAATTTCCCAACTCGGAGTTGGCAACCCTACTTCGACAACATCACCAATGAAAGAAGGTAAGAGCAAAAAATGTTTCTCACTGGGAAGTTTAAAATTTAAATCCTTACCACAGCAAAATGTAGAAAGTCATCTTCACCATTTTCATTTTTTAGTCGTCTGAACAGGTTCACCACCGCTTTGCAAGGCCCACACCAAGCCTGATAAACATCCACGACTGAAAACACACACAGACACGCACAGTCAGTCCTCAAGGACCCCCCCCCCCGATTGAGCAATAGCTTCTCTGCATTTGCAGAGGAAAGACTTGAAAACTGGAAATGTGCCAGTGCTAACATTACCCTTATACCAGATTCCAGGAAAAAGACCACAAATTAATAGCGGTTAATGTGAATTAGTGGTAATAGGTAGCCTTAGGCCAGGACTACTTCATCATGTGCATAATTGCAGGACTTCCATGCATTTGCAGGAGTCCCATAGCTGGTGAGTGCATGCTTCACATCATACATGTGTGCAGGCACCAAAATCAGGCCTTTCTGTGCTCTGCTGATACCAGATGGTGGGTCTCTACATCTTGCTTTCCAGGTATGCAGATGTTATATACTGTGGGCTTAAACAAGAGCTCTGTAAGATGTAAGGGAGTTGCTGGTTTGGGTCCATCTGGGAAACTCTCATACCCAGAATCCTCCTGGTCAAGGTTGGGATCAACGCCCCATGAAACTGGCCCAATTGTTTATGATTTGCTTTCAGATGATATTTGAGTTGGATCTGCGTTAGATCTGGGTGGTATACTTTTCTACAACCACGGTACCCTTGATGAGGGGTTTGTATAACCGTTCTTCATAGGGCTGCAAATGTTTAAAATGGTCCCTCTAGCTATCCCTTTAACAATAATTTGATCTGCTGCAACTCGACTGCCCATTTCCATACATTAAGCATCTACTAAAGGAGAGGACGTCTTTCTCCTGGCCAATCAGCACCAAGAATTGTTAAACACCTGCAACAGGGTGTTTACAAGAAACAAGGTCTGAAAAGTAAAAACTACACAATAGAGAATTCATGTGACTCTTTTTCTGTAAGGCACCCCATGCAGTAAAGCAGTGTACACACGTTTTAGGAACCACACTGTATATACAAAATGAAACATCCATCCATCCATCCATCCAGGCAATTTAGTATTAAAGAGTAAAGGGGGGGGGGGAATACACCTGTTAGACCTTTAACCAACAACATTTCGTCCCACTGAGTTTGATTGAGTACCATCGCCTAAAGTGAAGCAAACATACAATTTTGTTAGCTTCAAAGTGCTGAGGTTTTGAGTAAACAGTTAAATTGTTTAAGGAAAAGACAAGATGTTTACCTGCAGCTGAATTTCTTTTTTCTTGCCTGCCATAATATTCCCTATGGTGGTTTAAAAACAAACATAAATGCTTGAATGGCAATTCTCTCAGCTTCCTTGATTGATCAACTGAGAGTTTTATCTCTTAATACTAAGTTAATTTGGAACTGGTAGCAGAATAACCATTTTTATAGACATTCCTTATATTTTCCCTCTCATAGCTGTAGCATACAAATATGGGTTGCATCTGAAGGAAAATTGGGTTAGCAGAGTGCTCAGGCCACATGTCACAGCAGAATTTACCTGGTGTGTGTGTGCTACTGAGAAACAAAACTGCCTGCCGAGCTTTTGTATCTTAGTAAAACTATTTTTTATTCGATTTAATATGAATTCTTTGTAGAACTAATATGAGGACTTTATTGTAAGCAACTCCATTCTAGACAGGATAGGATCCTAGAGAAGAATCAACAGGAGGAGAAATTAAGTAAACCTATTCCTTAGTTTCAATACTTACAGTTATCATCTTTCTTATTCTCACTCAAATCTAAAAAAAAATGTTACCCACCTCTTCAAATGATCTAGACCTGGTAATACGAAAATATTCAGAAGGTTACAAAATATTAGTACAAACTTCTACAGTAGATAATATCCTACATTATCTAAATACATGGAATAAAATGATACAATTACCTACGGACATAAAAGTTTGGTAAGACATCTGGGCATCGCCCAATAATAGATCACCAATTTTTAGTGTACACTTTCAGTTTGTCAAATTGATGACCTACTGGTACCTGACACCTCAGAGATTACACCGTATAAATTAAAACTACCCAGAACTGTGTTGGAAGGGGTGTACAGAACCTGGGACATTTCCATTGTTGGTGGACTTGCCAGGTGATTCACCCATTCTGGGATAAAGTTCACCAACATATAAAACACATAACTACTATTGATTTACCGATTGCTCCTGAAATATTTCTTTTACATATTGGCCGGACAGAGAATGCTCAGACTCCACTTGGAAGCTAATTTGTTTATTATTGGCTTCGGCTCAGCTAGCTATAGCTTCAAAATGGAGATTGCTTAGACCACCACCCCCCCACGATGTCAGAGTGGTACGAGAAAATTTGGGATCAGTTTATAATGGGAAAAATAACACACAACTTAAAAATGAAATCTCAAGTGTCACATTATTCCTTATTTACGGAGATGTGGCTCCCCTGTATTAAGCTTTTTTGCTGAACGTGACATCTTACCTAGCAACTCATTGTATCAGGATATGATTTTTCTATGATAGTTCGTATTTGAATTTGAAACATGGATTGACTGTTTACCTTTTGTATTCTGTGTATCTGTGACTGGGTTATTTATTATGCTTCACTAATTGTAGATTCTTGAATTGATAATCCTATAAGATTTCATACAGAAGGTTGTTATTTTTTGTGTTTTAATTTTTGATTATTTTGTATTTTGATTGTTAATATGTGTATGCGGGATTTTTTTTTAAATATAAATTTAAAAAAATAGACAGGATAGGAGAGGTAAGATTCTAGACTAACTAGCTAAAATTGATGGAGATGCAAGAGGAGTGTCCTGCCTTTATGGTGCCAAGATGGAGAAGTGTGGTGACAGTGGCAAATCTGCACAGAGTGTTGGACTGGAGGGGCCATTGGCCTGATCCAACACGGGCTTCTCTTATCTTCTTATGTCTGGGTTAAGTGATGCTCTGTCTTCTTGGTGCTTGGGGGGAGGCAACAGTGGGAGGGCTCTTAGTGTCCTGGCCCCACTGCTGGACCTCCTGATGGCACCTGGCAGGGCTCTTTTTGTAGAAAAATCCCAGCAGGAACTCATTAGCATGGTAGGCCGCACCCAACAGCAGAAACTCATTAGCATATTAGGCCACACCCCTGACAGCACAGCTCATTAGCCCATTAGGCCGCACCCCCATGTTAGCAAAAGTGTGCTCATCCAGCCACACCCACCTTTTGCTTCTGTTTACCTTGTTTGTTGTCAAAACCCAGGGCTTTTTTTTTAAGCAGGAACTCCTTTGCATGTTAGGCCACACACCCCTAATGTAGACAATCCTGATGAGTTTCTGCTGTTGGGTGTGGCCGGTTGTGCTAATGAGTTCCTGCTGGGCGTGGCCAACTCAGGAGCTAGCCGAAACTCCATTCCTGTGCGTTCCTGCCCAAAAATAGCCCTGGCACCTGGTATTTTTGGCCACTGTGTGACACAGAGTGTTGGACTGGAGGGCCATTGGCCTGATCCAACACGGGCTTCTCTTATGTTCTTATGCACATCAAAGGGATAACATCGGAAGACTAGAGAGGAAGGATGCTCAGGGTCTTGACCAATCTATCTCTCTGGCTCTCTGCAGTCCCCCTCTGAAGTCTGAGACTAAGAGACAACGTAAGCTCCTTCACTTCCAACAATATCCACACAATGATGACTCTCCATTTTGCAGTCATTGGCACTGAGAAAACAGAGCATGTACATTTAATTCATTCCCTCCAAGTTCCACCCTCCCCATTGCTTTGAAGTCCTGTAAACATTTAGATTGACTGGAGGCAGTCAGTCTGGAAATGTGTCCATTCACGAACCAGCACAAAACAGCTGTAAAGTTTGTGGAAAGTTCATGCTGGTTGGCCTGCCATGAACTTCACCCCATGAATCACGGACGGGCCAAGATTCACTGTGAACTTTAGTTCGTGAGCCAGTTTGTGCCCCTCTCTACACCTGATTCCTCTCCACACTACAGCCCCCATCCCATATGGTTTTTGTACATGTAAGGCCCATGATTCTCAGCACCGCTTTTTTGGGTGGTCAAAGAGAACGCCTCCTTCCTCTTTTCAACCACCAGAAAAGATGGATGGATTCAACCCAATGGGATGTACCAAAGCTAGGGTTGCTAACCTGTAGGTGCAGCCTGGAGATCTCCCAGAATTACAATGGATTTCCAGACAACTGAGAACCATTCCCCTGGAGAAAATGGCTGCTTTGGGTGGTGTACTCAATGACATTATACCCTGCTGAGGTCCCCCCTCCCCTCCTCAAACCCCGCCCTCCCCGGGCTGTTCCTTCAAATGCCCATGAATCTCCCAACCTGGAGTTGCAAACCAGCATGCTCCAAAATCTGAGGTGGTGATTTCTGACTGTTTCCCCTTCCCACACAGACCCCAAATTTGCCCCTTTACTTCCCCTGTCCTGCAGGAATAAAATTTTAGGAGACTCAGTGGGATGCAGCTGATGGAGGAGACAGGAAAATCCCACTCCAAAAAATCCATGGATGGTTGGATGCTTGTTGCTGTTCATCCAAAGAGCCTCATGGAAACTTACAACATTAAAGCAGTATAAACAAGTTAAAAACAGCACAAAAGCAGATAACAAATATAAAATATGAACATTAAAACATGCAGCTAGCTACGTACCACTAACAAAACAACCCAAATATGTGGATTACTCCCCAAAGGCCAACCTAAATTATTTGGATTTGCAAGCCCTGCGGAAACGAAACAAATCTGGCAGGGCATGGGTGTCATCAGAGACTGTATTCCACAGGGTAGGAGCCACAACTGAGATGATCCTTCCCCTGGTGACAGCTAACTGAGCCATCCTGGGGCCAGGCAGCTGCAAGAGGCCACTAAAGGATGAGTGAAGGGAGTGCCGGGGAGGGGGGAGAGCCACTTTCTGCCCTGTTTCCCAATATACCTCTGGGCCACCTTTCTGAAAGCAGGCTTTTGACAGGTAGAGAAAGCTCCCCCCTTCATCTTGAGAGCCAGTTTGGTGTAGTGGTTAAGTATGCAGACTCTAATCTGGGAGAACCGGGTTTGATTCCCCACTCCTCCACTTGCACCTGCTGATGTGCCCTTGGGTCAGTCACAAGCTCTGGCACAGCTGTCCTTGAAAAAGAGCAGTTTGTGTCAGAGCTCTCTCAGCCCCACCCACCTTGCAGGGTGTCTGTTGTGGGGAGGGGAAGGGAAAGGAGTTTGTAAGCCGCTCCGAGACTCCAAGTGAAGGGCGGGGTATACATCCAATCTCTTCTTCTTCTTCTTCTTCTTCTTCTTCTTCTTCTTCTTCTTCTTCTTCTTCTTCTTCTTCTTCTTCTTCTTCTTCTTCTTCTTCTTCTTCTTACTGTGTGTTTGTCCTCAGGATTGACAAACAATGCCACGGCAAGGTAATCTGGGGCAAAAAAGCAAGCCCACCTACCGCACAAGCTTTCCTCTTCTAGATATATAATACACATACATACATACATATATATATTGGCAGTTGGACAATGCTCATGGTCTTAGGCAATACCCACAGTGTTAACGAGCCCAGGATCACCACTGCCTCACATGAAGTGAGCCCTGGAAAAGAAGGGGAATTGAAGGAGAAGTGGGCCAGCAGTTGGTTGGCTGCTGTCGCTATGGATACCAGAGAACACCCTTATAGAAGTCAGTGGTGTGTGTGTGTAGCGGGAGGAGGAGAGACAGGAGAATAAACAGCTGGGTTGGACTTCAAGGGAAGAAGAGTTGGATTTATATCCTGCCCTTCACTACCCTAAAGGAGTCTCAGAGGGACTTACAATCTCCTTTCCCTTCCCCTCCCCACAACAGACACCCTGTGAGGTAGGTGGGGCTGAGAGAGCTCTTTCAAGAACTGCCCTTGAGAGAACAGCTCTGACAGAACTGTGACTGATCCAGTGTCACCAAGGTGGCTGCATGTGGAGGACTGGGGAATCAAACCCAGTTCTCCGGATTAGAGTCCACTGCTCTTAACCACTACACCAGAAACAGGACAGAAAGTGGCTCTTAACCACTACACCAAACTTGGTGACTATATGGTGGTAGGCCGTCAGCCTCTGCCCACGCACGTCATAGAATTATATTCGATTTGCACAACTTCTTCGGATCCACTCGGCCAAATGTAGTCTGCCACCCACGTAGGATGGTCTTCCAAGGCTGCAACTGTTTTTGTACTCCAGGGCGGGCAGTAAAAGCAGATGGTTTATCGAAGATGGAGTGTGCTGCCACGCATGGCTGGGTGACCTGCATGCAGCCTGGTGAGCC